ATTAAATAAACGTGTTTATAATTCTAACATTTTAATAAGACTGATTTCAGTGAGCCTTAAGGTATAATTTCGTAGCTGACTGCAGGCAGCAGCAGCAGGCGACATGTCGCCGTGACATATCGTGACGTCATGTCGCTGCAGTCATGATTCCGAACCCGACTGTAGGCGGCAGCAGCCCGTGTTCTAATCTGTTCCGAATGTTCTATGGGTTGTGTGTTTATGTAAACAAAATAGGTACTTACCGCTTTTATTTAACTCCTTTCCTATATTTTTTAAAATATAATCTTTTATCACACTGTTTAAATAATTAATGAGATGCATCGTACAGTGCGGAACATTGGGCCATCTGGTTTATCAGTTATTCTTCCTCGGAACAGGTGAACTCATTTTTTGAGAAAAATTCAACTTATCGCTCGGGCATTGGCAGCACTACTGTTCTGCGGTCGGGCTACGGTGTTGTCTGCCGCTCGGCCCGTAGCGGCAAACGACGTGTCGCTACCTACGGAAGGTATTTCATAGAACTACATAGAAACCAGTAGTGTCGCGACAACACTTCGCCTGCTGCTGCTGCCTGCAGTCGGCTACGGAATTGTAACTTAATTTGTTTTTCTTTAATAGAAAAAGTATTTATTTACATTTTTGCAGTTACCGCATATCCTGTAAAAAGTCTACTGCTGAATATAGGCCTCCCCCATATGGTTATATTTGACATAGTTGCCATAGTTGGCAGGCGGATTGGCAGCAACCGTTTTTTTAATAGAATAAGTTTGACAAACGAGCACAATGTCCAAGTGAGGTTAAGTGGATGCTGAAACACTGATACTCTGTGAGGGCGTGGTCCTTCCCCGGTCGAGCCGTACCATTCTTGCTACAACCATAATATAGCTGCTGCATGGATCTACCACGTAAAATGACTCTACCATGTGAAAGGAACGTAGGAAGACGTTCCTGCCTATCTCCTGGTTTGTTTCTCTTACTATATTCACGGGATGTTAGGTGGTAGAAATATTTTTACATTGCCACCACACTGCGATTATCTATAATATAAAAATGAATCACTGAATGTGTTGCTAAGCGCAAATCTCGAGAGGAGCTGAATCAATTTCACTAATTCTTTCTTTATAATATTCCTTGAAGTACGAAGATGGTTCTTACGGAGAGAAAAATTTAAAAAAATGCCTGAAAAAGTCTAAAAACAACACTTTTCTATATTCCCATACAAAAGATTCGTAATAATACTTAAAAGTCAATTTGAACTTTAATACCATACCATAAAGTTTAAGTGTCTACGTGGTAGAGCCATGCTGCAGCTATATTATGGTTGTAGCACGATTGGGTCGGCTCGAACGGGGAAGGACCACGCTCTCACAGAAAACCAGCGTAAATAGCAGCTTAATGCTGCTGTGTTTCGTATGGTGAGTGTAGAGAACCGGAGACCCTTTTTACAGGCAAGGAGGCATTCCATCTTAGTCCTCACGGGTGACAACGCATCTGCATCTTGAGTCTTTATTGAGGATAGATGTAGATGTCTATGGGTCACAGTAACCACTTACCATCAGGTGGACTGTGTGCTCGTTTGTCACCCGATTCTATAAACAAAAAGTGTTAGTGGAGGGGTTCCAGGAAGGCAAAACAATTGAGTAACGTCAGTATGGTATAAATATTAATTTCAATATTTGTCAATATTTATACGATGGTAACATTACTCAAAAAAATTAGGGTTTCGCGCAAAAAAATTGATATCCATGAAATCTTAGTAAATACATTCCACGCGGGCGAAGTCGCGGGGCACAGCTAGTATAAACATAAAAAGTTATAGTAAAAACTTCGACGACTATGAAAACAGTTTAACAGCTTTCTTCTCTTTAAAGTCGGATAAAATTTGACGTATATCATTAGTTTTCGCTTTCGCATACGAAACACATCAGCATTAATCTGATATTTTACACTGGTATTCTGTGAAAATGTTGTCTTCTCCCATAAGCGCGTATGAAAAATTGTAATTAATGCTAAGTAAAAGTTTTCATACGTCCCATTGTTGGTCACAAGCCTCCTTACATGTCTAAAAGAGTTTTGCGACAAATACGAGTACCTATAGGCTCACATTTATTGACTTACTGCAGGCCATTTGCTTTATAGCTCTGAAAGATAAAAGATAAAAAGATATTTGCACTGTTATAAGGATACTGATCTCTGTTGGTTTTGTATACGTAACTTTGTACTTTGACCTCAATAGAGCTCATGACGTTCATTGTCTCATATTTACCTTTTGAATACGTTTCCAGCTTAGAGTCTGAAAAGTTTTAGATTTTGGCTTTCATCCTTGTTGAATGAGAACAATGCATGGAAAATATCTTACAGCTATTGTCAAAGACTGAAAATTGTAAGAAATAATTTCATTGGTGCAATCGAGCCCTGTTGCTTGCGTAATTGTTGTTGCGCTGAAATTTGCAGCGAACGCTAGCCTCTGTGCTATCACGGTTCAAATTGTCAGTACAAGCCTATAATCGAACTATTTTTAAGTTCTTTTTATGTTATAAGTATTTGGATGTAAAACTTGCCATCTATAAAAATTTATATCAAAATTACATTACAAATTTTCTTATAACTTAACTGAAGATCGTTATTCGTTCTCAAGTGGCAGCCTTGTACCGGTAGACGAAGTGTAGGGCGACCCCCCACGAGATGGAGTGACGACCTGGTAAGACATGCAGGAAGTCGATGGATGCAGGTGGCTCAGGACCGTGCTTTGTGCCATTCCTTGGGGGAGGCCTATGTTCAGCAGTGGACTTATGAAAGGCTGTAATGATGATGATGATGATTTATTCCTATAGTTACCTTTTAGGAAACGGCTATGAAGCTTGGCATCCTTTAATTTTTCTATCATTTAAATAAAAAAATGTGTCAAACTTGGCCTTATCCTTAACCGATTTAAAGTAGTAAAGACCTAAAAATGATTTCAATTATTATTTTTATTGGCCTTATTTTAATTTAAAGAAAAAAGACAGGGAATTTAGTTGGCAGCAATATAAGTTTGTTATATTGCTAAGTTCACTCAAAAGGGTAAAAAAAATAGCTTATATTATTTTTTTAAATTTTATTAAAAAATTAAAAACCAATTTCGAGAACCAGCTATTTTGATGTAGAAAAACGTTTTCAATTCACGTTTATGTGTTTTGTGGAATAGATATAACACCATTAATCGGTCGCTACAACCTCGTATGTTATTACGAAAATAAAGCTGGCGTTACTATTCCATTTTCTACCTGATATTCAAACTATAGCAATTACCTTTTTTGTGAAATTTGAGAGATTAACGAGCCAACAGTCCACCTGATGGTAAATGGTTACTATAGCCAATAAAACGTTAATTATACAATTTTACGGTGAGTGTCTGTCCTTTGAACTGCCAAGGACCTTTGAATAATTGTTACAAGATAATTGTATACCACTAGTATTGCAGTACTAAAATGGAGAAATACATTTATATAATATTGAATTTTTATTTTATTTAACGATATCTATATTTAAGGTAAAAACTTATCGTTAGACTACCATAAAATCAACAGTAGCATCTTAATTATAATTAAAGTCTTGTTATTACATATTTTTTCTTTCTAACATCTAATCTTAAAGAAAATTTCATTCCTGTCGTAAATTAAATTTTCCCTGAAATGAATATTAGAAAGATGAGGTATTCTTAGAACAATTTTGTTATTCATTGTACTTTTAGAGACTTTTGAAACATCTAGGCTAAATTAAATTGAACAAGAAATGAATATATTTACTTGACTACACCGTAGCTAAATAAAAAATATACATTTATAAAAGTTCAGTGGTTGTCGTAAGAGGCATAAAAGTGAAATTGTCTCATATTTGCCATAGTTGTCTCGCTTGGCAAGCGGGTTGGCAACCCCAGTTTTTTCCACAGTCTACATGAAATTATTAACAGCAATACTTGTAAATATGTTATCATAAAAAAAGTTGAATACTTCATATTTACCATCGAAGTTGAATATATTTAATGTTAAATAAATATTCAACTTCTCTGCCGATAATTTTTTTATTTTAATTTATTTAAATTAAAATTATTTTACTTATTTTTAGCTCACATCTCCAAAATATAAAGACAGGTAATGGAAATATAAAACACAGGTAATAAAAATAAAAATAAGTTCCATCCCTTTCCGTGGGTGTCATATGTGTGACTATGAGAAATATAAGAGAAATCTCAAAATTGTCCCGTAAATTTCATAATAAAAAAACACGTATTAGATACCCTGCAGACATTCTGCAGAGTATTATGGCTGCAGCACGGGCAGGTCGGCTTGACTGGTAAAGGGCCAAGTACATTCAGAATACCACCTTGAAATTGCAGTATAATGCTGCTGTGTTGCATATGGCGAGTGACAAGAAACGAAGACCGTTTTTTCTGGTAATGAGGCATTTGATCTTGGTTCTAACTACGCAACTGCCTTTTGAAGCTTAGTCGACGATAGATGTAGATGATAAATATATATGATAAATATAGGAGGGATTGTAATCTGGCACTGACTTAAACATAAAAAAGGTGTCCATGGGCCACAGAATCGACTTACCTCGGTGAGACTGTATGTTGCCACACTCACATCTATGAAAAAAATATCACATAGAATGATTGACTTGCCAACCATCTAGTCTGTTTATTACGTAACAGTTACATTGCATGACTTATATTAAACTTTATTATTAGCAAGATAAATATTTTTATCAAAATTAATTCAATTTTTAAAACACATAAGTTGTACATGCAGCTATATTATGATTGTAGCACGAATGTGTCGGCTCGACTGGGGAAAGTCCACACACCTACAGAATATTAGTGTAAAATAGCAGCAGGAATGAGATGTTATTTTTCCGGTAGTAAATAAATCATAATACAGTTATTTTTGAATCATTACCGGTTTAAAAAAGAAGCAGCAAAAATTGTATATATATAGTTATAATAATAATTACAAAATTCAAACAACGTTATATCTAGGTCTTGGTACAAACGGCACGGGATTCGCATCTGGTGACAACAGCAATCTAACATTAACGTTAGCTCGTCGCCAACGATTCCACATAACGTAGTGATCCTTCCATAAAAGATACACCGTAACCGAGTAGCCGCAAAGTACTATAGCCATGAAGAAATCCATAGCAGTTTCTGTTATTCGATGGGAAATACCTGTAAAAAAAAATCAAATACTTTATTAACAACTAGCTAGTGCCGGACATGAATTGCAATGGCTCTTTTTTTCATGGACCTTCATGCGCGCGCGTACACGCAAAAGTTTAATCGTAGTCGGATAGATGGTATATGCATAGAAAGTGAACGCATTTTTTTTGTCGGAAATCGTTTAAAACTTGCACACATCTCACCAACCGTTACCGTTATAGCCTATCAAAAGTCCTCTGCTGAACATAGTCCTAAATAAATAAAGTCATAGACGCTACAAGCACGTAAATATTAAGTATTTATTATTCTTCTTCCCCTTTATCTTCACCAGCCCGTATAAGTCCCCTGCTGAACGCTTAGCATGTGGATTGACAATCATAGTACGAGACCGCATGCACCGTTGACATTGCTGTTTATTTATTCTTAATTGTATACTTTAATTAAAAGGATTAAAAACGGCTGAGTAATGTGATAGGTGCCGAAAATAAAAGAACATTATTGTAAATGAGGGAAAAATTAAAATAAAACACGCTCACACGCACGCACACACGTGCGCACGGGCACACGCAGATGCACATGCAGACGCACACGCACATGCAGACGCACACACACATGCACACGCACACTCACACGTACACGCACACGCACACTCGCACACACACACACACACACACACACACTCGCACGCACACACACACACACACACACACACACACACACACACACACACACACGCACACGCCCGCGTCTGAGCTGCTACAACCCGCGCACTTGACTATGAGGCAATCTTGTGTACACTGTGTTCAGCTATAAACATTTGATGACATTTGATTGATAAATTAAAAAAATAATGAATTTTTGAGTTTTTTGGTTTAACTTTACTCTACGGGAAACTCCTAAACTCCTTAAGCGCGCGCGCGCGTATACGCATACGCACACGCACACGCACTTTACTGTGAAAGCTTATTGTACCGGAAAATCATTACACGAAAAATAATTCAATAATCTTATAAGGACCACAATGTTTGCAAAACAAAGAAGCTGTCACATCAGTCGCAGAAGTTTGCGTAGACGTATCATGAGAACGCGCTTTGGTAAATTTATTTTATTTGTCTACTAATTAGATAAAGTGACGATTTGCATAAGGTAGATGGCAGCAAATATATGCATAACTTAAGATCACGTTAAGTGGTACGCATTGGAAGAGGTATATGATCAGCACTGTACCGTAAAAGGCTGATAATATTTTGCTTTTTTTTTAAATAGAATAAAGATGACAAACGTGCACAAATCATCCAGCTACGTGGCAGCTAATTGCATGCGCTAATAGACATTTACATCTATCCTCGATTAAGAATCAGATGCATTGTCACTACTGAGGACTAAAATGGAATACCTTGTTTCCCGTAAAAAAATGGTTCTGCGGTTCTCTGCACTTACCATTTGAAAAAAAGCAGCATTAAACCGTTAATTTTCGGTGATATTCTGTGAAGGAGTCGTCTTTACCCGGTCGAGGTGGGCCATTTGTGGTACAATTATCATACATGCAATAATACAACAATATATATACAGCTAATGCAAGGCTCTTCCACGTTCAAAATATCACCTATATATTATATACAATCTCACAATTTCCTTTTTTTCGAAATTGTGTAAATGGTGACGTGTGTCATTAGTTTCCGCATTCAGAAATATTCTTTTATTTTTATATAGCATTGTCCAACATTCGTATGTTGGGAAAGTATCAGTACGAAATTAACCCACTTTGTCTTTGCGTAATTAATAACAAAAGAAAAAATAAATCAGAAAAAAAAATACATTAATGACAAACCTTCATCTTTTCTAGCACCTGCATCGAGCTTACCGAATTTGTTGCCCTCAATTACAAAGTACTGAGTGCCAACGATGCATACCGCCAACAGACCTGCGGTGACGGTGGACAGCAACCAAAAAATCAGACAGTCAGACTGTAAGAAAATATTTAATTATAAGTTGTAGATATATTCTATTTAAAACTACTATTTTATATTATTATGCTTTGTTTTACCGAGTAGTTACTGTGTAAGAGAATCAACTATGCCCTCTTCCCGTGGGTGTCGAGGCAATAGAGGGAAACTGAAATATGAGACGGGCAGCAGCGCTTTCCTAATAAAAGCTCAAAATAATAAAAAAACTGCGGATGTGAATCCACCTTCCAAGGATAAAAACTATGGGAATTATCCCTCCTATAAGGAAATGTACAGAAGAAACCTATGTTCACGCATCAAACATTTGTTAATGTATAAAACGCCCTATAAATAATAAGCCTAATTACATAAACACTCACGCCTGTCACCCAGAGGGGTAGGCAGAGATTATGGACTTCCATTTGGCACGATCCTGACACACCTCTCTCGCTTCCTCCACATCCATATACCTACGCATACACGCTCGTCGGTTAAAGGTACTCTTGATATGACCCATTTTTAATATATCGCCAATTTGGTCGACAAACTTTCGCCTAGGGCGACCCTTCCCGACTATGCCGTTCACCTCTGCAACGTAGATTTGCTTTGTCACTCTTTCCTCATTCATTCTTTCTACATGGCCAAACCACCGAAGCATTCCTTTCTTAATCCTGGTCACAACATCATCTTGCAAACCACACTCTTCTCTTATTAAACAATTTCTCACTCTGTCATTCAGCTTCATCCCTAACATACTCCTTAATGACCGCATTTCTACAGCATTTATTCTACTCTCATGTTTCTTCTGTCACACCCAACTTTCACTACCATACATTAAAGTAGGTACTAACACAGCATTGTGAATTGCCATACGTGCCTTTTTGGACACATTCTGACTTTTCACAATAGAGTGTAGAGCCCCATTCACTCTATTTCCTGCATTCACTCGTCGTTCTATATCCTTATCATATCTACCATCCCTGCTAATATACAGTATATATTTTTCTTTGTGTCACAATTGTGCTTAAATTTTAATATAAATAAATGATAAATAACCTAGTTATGTATTGAAAAAAATAATATCGAAAGGAGCCTACTACGCTGTTTCAGTGCGTGTCGGTGAATTTCCAAAGTACTTGGTACATAACTTTAATTTCCGTACATATTTCCTTTCCTCAAGAATTTATTCGACACAGCCAATCCCTAGTAAATCGGGCGAAAAATTGGAAATTGCAATTTTATTTGTGTCAGCAAACGGACTCCTAATCCCCTAAATTATCGGAGCATTGATGATGATATTAATGATGAATACGATGATTATGATTATGTGTCTTAGCCAATTTTCGACCACGGTGAAAATTTTGGAAAATCGGAAGCTCTCAAAGGTATAGCAGATATGGATAGATAGACAAAATTTTCCTTCAAAATGTAAGTAGTACTTACATATACCAAATACAAGTTAATTATTATTTTTATTAAAAAAGTTACCGTAGGATCTTATCACGTATTGTGGATGCGCTTTTCATACACAACTATCCAACGGTCAAACGCTTAGTCATTCCGATATAGAGCGACAAATAATTCAAATGTAGTGATCTAATAGTATAATAATAAAAACTAATCAACCTCTTCGCATTTTAAAATCCGTTAACCCATTTAAACCGCAGCAGTTTACAAAGGACACAAACAGGCATACCTATATACCTTTGAGGTATCAGCTTGTCTCTATTAAACGAAAGTGATAAACAAACTTAGAGCCAACTTCAAACTAAGCAGGTTCCAGATGTCTTGTCACCTCTGACGACTAAAATGGAATGTCTCATAAAAATTAAAATCAACTGTCAGACATGGACATCTCCCATTGTAGGGGGGTTTCACCATAATCACCACGCTTTGCAGGTGGAAGGCAATTGCCGTATCAGACAATCACACGATTAACGCAGCACCCCTGGCAGATCTGGAAATTTTTAATCTGGTATGTGGATGAATACTCTCCTATCCATCAGAAAACATATTTTTATCTTTTCCCTTAATCGCATATTATACCACCTCCAAAGAACGAAGTGATTGGGTGATATTTTTCATTTCGCCGCCACCACACCAGTAAAAAATAAGGTTAGTTATTTTGATGCAAGTCTTTACGGTTATAAATATTTACGAAGCGTCTCATGATCTACAAAATAGTCTCACCTGCAAATGGGTCCTGTTACGAGGGTTACCGAACCACAATCGTAGTGCTTGAAGTACGGTATATCGAGGTGTGCGAATTGCTGGATAGCTAAAATAAAACTTATTAATTAAGCATTTTGTGCGTGGTAGAGCCATGCTGCAGCTATATTATGGTTGTAACACAAAAATAGTAAAAAATAATTTTATGGTATATTGTATATGGGTCCGCTCGGCCAGGGAAGGACCACACTCTTATAGAATACTAGAGTAAAATAGCAGATATATGCTGGTGTGTTTTGTATGGTGAGTGAAGAGAACCGGAGATCCTTTTTACTGGAAACGTGGAATTCTATATTAGTCCTCAAGGGTGGCAACGTATCTGCATTTTCATTTTTTATCGAAGATTGATGTAGATGTCTATGTCATTGTTACAGTCAAAACTCAAAAGCGCCCAAAACCACTTTAGACAGTAAAAAATTAGGAAACGTAGTTTTGACTAAGGACTTTTGTAAATACCACTTTTAAATGCAAAAATACTGGGTAATAGTGATTTTCAGACAACACCAATTGTGACTAAGAACGTGGGTTAAAACCACTTTTGACTACAAAAATCAGAAAATCAGCATAAAATAGCAACTTAACGCTGCTGTGTTTCTTATGGTGAATGTAGAGATCCGGAGACCCTTTTTAATGGCAAAGAGGCATTTCATCTTAGTCCTCACGGGTGACAACGCATCTTGAGTCTTTATTGAGGATAGATGTAGATGTCTATGGGTCACAGTTACCACTTACCATCAGGTAGACTGTGTGCTCGTTTGTCAACCTATCCTATAAAAAAACTCAAAACTGGTTTTGACCGATGCCCTTAGTCAGTTAGTCATTTTTGCCTGATTTTTGCAGTGAAAAGCAGTTTTGACCGGTTATGAGTTTCGATTGTGACTTCATTAAGTCTATACTTATTTAATAGAATAAGGGTGACACAACAAGCACATAGTTCAAGTGATAGTAAGTGGAAGCTATGGCCCGTGGTCAACTAGAACTATCTTCGGTTAGGAATCAAAATGCAGATGCGTCGGCACTGCGGAGGAATAACACAGAACGCCTCGTTTCTAGTAAAAAGGGTATCCTCCGGTTCTCCACACTCGTCATACTAAACACAGAAGCATTATTTATTATGTTTCTAAAGTAACGTTCTTTTACCCAAAGAAAAAATGTAGTATATCGTATATATAATGTCGTATATGTATTTATTTTGGCGTAGTTTATCGACAACACATTACGTTGTAGAGCCACGCTACATCTATTAGTAGCTGCAGCACATGCGAGTCAAGTTTACAATGAGTACTTGCTTAGAATGACAACAAAAGTGGGATAATGAAGGATCAGATATACTTATAAATCGTATCCAGGCACTCCCTCATAGCCCTTTGGGGCTACAATGCATCTGCATTTTAAATCCTAATCAAGGATAGATGAAATGTATATGGACTACAGCAACAACAACACTCAGTTGGAATATACGCTCGTTTAACAACTAAACATATTATGTTTAATATGTACCACATTAAAATTATAAATTAACTCTAAAATGTAACGGAATGTAACAAAAAATATCACTAATATTAACATTTTCAATGTATTCAAAAAATGCGTCCTACACTAGTTTTGTTAGTAATAAAGGGCTCTTCTGAGTTGACATCAGTTCACTGGAACTTTGTGTGTTGAATAGACTACAATAAAAATAAATACAGCATAGTGGTATAAAAAAGATAATGATAGCGGCTTCCCCTTAACATTTAGTAACGGTTCACAATAACATACCATTACCGCTAGCGTTACTGTTAACGTGATCGTTACCATTACTGCCTCTCAAAAGACCACTTCTGAATATAGGCCTCCTGTATATAGGGTATAGGGTTATTATTTATTTTATTGATATTTGTTGCTACCGCAGTTATTTTTTAACTAGTTGTTATTAAAAAAGCCTGCTGCACATCCCCCGGTTTGTATCTCTCTTTCGCCTCTTATGACACCCATGTGAAGAAGCGGGGTAGTGGATTCTTTCTGCGCGGTTATACACTTTTTTAACTTTCTCATAAACCTATTTACAAACGTTTCATTTGCGTAAAATATATTGACATATAATGAGAGGAGAGGAATACGGTTAATCTAATTTTCTATGTTTACTAATGCCAAATTGTCAGTACCCACCTGAAACCACAAAGTTCACAATGGTTTCTACCGACTTGGTTAAGCCACCTCTCTAAACACGATAAATGAACATTTGCTAAAGAACCTTTACAGTTGCAAGGTGAAATCAACCTGTAATATCAATATTAATTGGTAAGTTTCTTTGACATGTATGATTTGTTTAGGTGTTTGAACAAAATTTAATGCAGGAATAATGTGAGCAAATAATAACTTCATAGGAATTTCTTATCAATTCTAAAATTTCAATGCTAGGCACGGAGAAATGATTTTTATTAAAATTCTCTTTTTAACTAACCTCTCACGCCCCTTGGTCATACAAATTCTACAAACATTAGAACCAATACTTGAAAGTGAATCTCTAGGAGCTAGTCCATAATCTGATTTATCTGAGAGGTTTCCAGAAGTTTTCTTTTTGTTTCCTTCTGTATATTTCGACTGTTTTGTTTCGATTAAATTCAAATCTGGACCTCTTATTTCATTTGAAATATTAAGAGTGTCAGTTATGGTCGTATTAACATTTTGAATGCAGTTTAGATTAGGTTCATCGTGTGTGGGCTCATGGATAATGGAACTTATGGCTGTGTGCACATTTTGAACATTTGGAACTTCTGCTAATGCAAAATTATGAACATCTTTATTAGTTTGGAAACACGAAGCTACAAATTGTTTTAGTTCTAAAAACGTTGTTGCATCACATTGTTCATTGTTTTCATTTTTGTATAATGTTGGTATTTTAAGTTCTTTAAAATTTATGTTTTTTAATGCTTCGGTTTTGGGACTGAAACTAAATGATGAAAGTTTTAATGCATTTGCAACATCTTTGGTTGTGATAATTTGTCGTATACTGTGTTCTGATTTAGATATTCCAGTCTTAGGCTGGAAAATGCTTTTTGGAGTATGAAGTATTTCACCAGGCAGTGGTATAAACCCTGAAGGCCCAGCATCATCTGTCGTATCTGTTATTTGAGACACATCTTTACCATGTTCAACTTTTATTTCATTATCATTTTCATCTGCTGTATTTATTTTATTTTCTTCGTCCATCAACAATAATCTTGCATAAGTATTTAATATTTTGAATGTATTGATTTTAATAAAACGTGTTTTTAAAAATAATATTTGACACTTAATTTTGACATTTTATGATATCTTTTTTATCAGACTTTTTGATTTATAATAATTTAAAGAGAATGCATTTGAATATAAATAATTTATGGTTATTTTAAAACATAGACTTCGAATATACTGACGTATAGACGACCTGTCAGTCCGAAAATGCGTGACTAATTTTGATTTGTCATTGTGTGCGTTAGCTAGTGATATACGTTTTACTTACAAGGACTGTCGAAAAATGATTGTTAAGGAAGCGGTAAAAAGATTAAAAAAATTGTTTAGTACACGAAATTGAATAACTTCAAAACTAACTGAATTTTTACGATGATAAATCTAAAATAATTAAAAAATATGCATATAACATGTTTCTCGAAATAAACTTAACCTACCTGCCGTTTCTTGAATTTTAATTCAAATGTATAAAATCCCAGGTGACTCTACCGATAAACTTAAAAAAAGAACTCCCCAAGAATCAGATCGGAAAGTTGTATCTTCGAGCTATATATGATCCTTGGAGTTTACTGCCATGGACAGTTTCCCCGGAATTTCTTTTTTAACATATTAATAATATGAATAGGTAGATGCTTAACTAAGTATAAACCTACTTATATATTATATGTTTTATAAAATGTTTTGATGGGGAAATAAATAACGGGTACACGGAGTACATAATGGCAGCTTTATTTTTCATATAAGTATTATTTCGATAATTACAAATATTTAATAATTAATAATTAAATACATTATAAAAGTTTATTTTAACATTCGACTTAAATATGAATGTAAACTTAATAATTTAAGTATGGTTGTAGGAATCAGATAAATAAGATTGCTCTGTTTATAGGCCAATATGTTTATGAGGCTTCATCATGCTTCATGTTTATATTCTTTAATATGTCCCTGAGAAGTATAGAGTAATAATAAACTTATTATCATTTTGGCTGCATGAATTTAAAAAACATAATTATCTTCACAGAGTAAAGTGCAACAAGTGTCTGAGGATATAGATGCACTCTCTATTCTCTCAATCTCGGTATGTTAAGAAAATGGTCACTCATTCATGGACTGACCGCGTCAAGTGCAACTTAATCTCGCAGATCTATTGATCCACGCAGCTATTACTTAACCACGAGTTCCTCTTTTATACGAATAACGCTGTAGGCGATGAACCTTGCTATTTATGCCCTCGGTCTTCGGCCATCGAGCATGAATCGGGCATCGAGCGTTGTGAGTATCAAATTGTATGGAAATTACACTATCACGTCTCATGTTTGGGCTCCTAGTGGCATTTCAGAAGCATTACTAAATATCTATACCTAACTACGCTAAAAATTTTATCAATATGATTTGGGAATTTAATCCGAAGTTCCGCTCAACCCCTTGGGGAAAATAGCGTAATGCTATGAATATTGTACTAGTGTAACCGTGAGGCTGTGCGGTTGGTTAAATAAGGTTATACATATATTTTAGTTGATTAATAGATACTTTATTCGGTTCGTAATGGCTTAAGGAGGATAATCTCAGGATTTTTTTATCTTTAACGTAATACAGTTTCAAATTTATAAAAATCTGTCTCTACAATTTTTGTATAAAGTTTTGAAAGTTAAATATTTGAAGTCTTATTATAACAATATTAAAACTATTGCTACAAGTAATGTAGAAATGACTCCTTTTAATAAAATGGTTTTTAGTCTGCTTTGTCTGTTATACTTCTAAAGAAAATGTAATTGTTGAGTTCTTCTTTGGATTCCAACCAACCCGTCCAATTTATCTTAACCATTTTTTCTAATTAAAGAATCCGGAGGGAATCTGTTTGACAAAAGGCAAAATTAAATTAAATTTTAGAACGCAAACCCAGAATTTATTATCTTGTTGTGCAACTCTATCGATTCATTATAAACATTCAAGATAAATATCGACATTAATTTTGATATAGTTGAGTCAATCCTTGGCGTACATGTAAAATTTTTGTATAAAATGTATTTACCAAATTCATGCAAATTATCACATTAAAAAATTTATAAATAGAAAAGATTTAATATTTTAAACAGTATATAACATGCGTAGGTATATGGATCTCGAGGAAGCGAGAGAGGTGTGTCAGGATCGTGCCAAATGGAAGTCCATAGTATCTGCCTACCCTCCTGGGTGACAGGCGTGAGTTTTTATATTTTTTTGTATTATGTATATAACAATAATTTTAGCTAAAAATTACTACCACTACGTCTTGAGAATTTACCTGTAAAATGTGCGATTATTAGGATAATTTCTATTATTAAGACCACAATCACATACAGAACAAGTAACCATTTTGGGAATAAGTAATTTACTAAAAATAACCACTATCACACTTTAAAAAATTATAAAATATCTAGGAGCTATTTCTTGCGTGCCGACTTGTGCTGACCTGCCATTCAAAATCGGTTACAGAGTCATGAGATTTGGTATCCTTTTCTATTTACCATAAGGAATTTTATTCTTATTTTACCATAAGGAATTTTATTCTCCCTTGCACATTACGTTGGTCTACACGCCAGTATTTTCTAAGTCTATGATTGAAACATAGATTTAGAATAAACAGTATATTCTAAGTCTATGGGTAACAAGACGACCATAGTGTACAAGGTAGAAGAAAATTATTTATAGCAATAAAGCAAGATAGAAAAGTATAGCAAATCTCACAACTCTGTGACTGATTTTGATTGACAGGTCGCCACAAGTGGATACTTAGAATCCACTAGTTAGTCTGTGGTCGGCACATAAATACGCAAGGATGAACTCCTGGCATTTCAAATTTTTGAGTCTAATAGTGGTTATTTTTTTGTAAGTAATTGTCTTCAACAATGGTTACTTGCAAAGAGAATATAATCACTATTACTTGTTCTGTGAGTGACTGCGGTGTCAATAATAGAAATAATCCTTATTCACCTTATGCACATTTCACAGGTAAATTCTCTAAACGTTCTCACTACGCGTTTGTATTTGCTTAAAATATAAGTTATATATTAAATATTATTTATCTTGAATAGTTATAATTTATTGATAGACTTGTAACCCACACAACACGAAGAGTAATGAAAATAAATTTTAAGACGTTTGCATTTTAAAACGTAAATTTATTTTAAATTTTCTTTTTATACTAAACTTAATCATTCTAGTAAGGAAATTCGTAAAAACCAGTTAAATAAGATTGTTTTGTTGAAATGCTCAAAAGTAATTGTAATTAATTTGCTTAAAATTATTTTTAAATGTTTGCTGGTGGACAAAACAAAAATGGAGACACTGAGTAACTATTTTTTTTTATTCTATAAAAGTAACTACCTATTTATATTTTATTAACATTATGTTCAAAAAGAAATTCCCAGGATAAGCTGACTGTGATGTTCCGGAACTAAAATAAATTAACCATAGCGGCGGTGAAAGTGTCTCTCGTAACACTTCCACGTGAACAGCCAGTGCGAACAGCTAGTGCGAGCGGACATTGTTCACCTATCGTCTCAGTTACTATAAACTAAGCGTTTTATTGTTGCTCCCTTGAAATTACGCATATACACATGTGGACAACACAGTCCATGGCAGTAAACATTTTTCTCCAAGGGTCGTGACTCGAACACACAAATTTACTACTAAAATAGAACAGAATAGAATAGAATAGAATAATTTTTGTTCAATATAGATCACGTGTGTAATTCTTATTGAAAGTATTTTTTATTTTACCACTGGTCCTGGAAAGAACCAGCAAGAAACCCACCGGGACTTTTTTTAAAGTAAATTTTACATTAATACTTGTACAAATTATTTACATAATTTATTTTAGGAACTGCTTGGAAGTGACAACCTTATTCCCAAGGCTTATTATCAGCCATGTATTCATTTATATTATAATAAACTTTTTATACAAGTTCAGCTTAACAAAACATTTAAAATTAGAAATATAGAGAGCCTGTACACTTTCCGGGACCTTGTTGTTATAGCGTATACATTGCCCCAAGAATGAATCACTGACTCTGTGGAGTCGAGAAACTGGTATCACTAGCTTATGTTTGTTTCTAGCGTTTACAGAATTTATATCACATTTTTTGTTTTTGTGAACATACATTAAATATTCGTAAATATACTACGAGGCGAAAGTTAATATATTTATTTCTTTTAAATTTTCTGTGAGAAACTCTCGGTTTTAGGTTGTAAATAGCTCTAATCGCCCTCTTCTGTAAAATAAAAATAGTTTCTTAATCAGCCGCATTTCCCCATAGCAAATCCATTATGAGATATTATGCTATGGAAATAACTTAAATATACTAATCTAGCCGTCTCGGAACTAGTGAGACCTATAAATATTTTTTACAACATAGGCTGCAGAACTTAGTCTGCTTGCTAGTTTGGATATATAGGGCCCCACTGAAGCTTTGCGTCGAGAGTGATGCCAAGAAAAACAGTCGATTCAACAGGGCTCAGTTCTTCCCCATTTAAAACACATTGGAATTCAGATTTTTCACATTCTATATCGTTAATTTAACACATTTAGTTTTATTTCTGTTTAAATGTAGATTATTAACGTTAAATCAATGTACTAATTTTGCATTATTCTTCGTCACATTTAAATGATTGACGTTTAAGTTTAAAAATCAAGGGAGCATCATCAGCAAATAATACTATATCATGATTATCCCCTACAAGTGAATGTAAGTATACACTAGAAATAGAAATGGGCCGAGAATCGAGCCCTGAGGAGGAATTGATACCCATTAGTACAGGAGACCCGAAGAACTTTTACCATTGATAATAACTTTCTGCATTCTATTACTTAAATATGAAATAATAAATTTAAGTGCTGTGTTCTTGTGTTAACTTTATGTGTAGCCTCACCTCTCCAGAGATTATTGAGATTTTATAAATTTTGTATTAAAATCCAACAAAAGGTAGGCAGGTTC